GAGAGATCACTGTGAGAAGACAAGTAGGTACTCTCCAATTTTTTGTGTCCCACAGTACTTTGCAGAAAAGGCATTTTATGGCTATCTATGGAGCAAGTGGTTGATTGACAGGTTGAATCAATTATTTTTTTCCCAGCAAAGTAAATAGGAGTACTAAAAAGTGTAAAATCAGTTCTGTGTTGAGATTTCCAGATGTGATTTGCAATGTCCTAACTTTGACATGTGACAACAAAAGATGAATTTATCTTATATAGAATCAATTTGGGATGACTCCGTCCTTTTCTCCTGTTCCACTCAGCTGCAAGAAAACTAGTAGTTCTTCAAGCATGACGAGGCTGGCTTACTTTTGTGTATCTTTAGTTTTCCCCTGAAACTGTAGCTCTTTCAGAACCCTGCTTTAGGTAGGATGGATGTCTCCCGTTGGATGGTACATACTGGTTAGGTGCAGAGACTTGGTCTCTGTCTCTCATGCCCTGAAGTTCAAGGTTTTCTGAATTAGCCTATGTCCTCAGAATGCCACTTACTCCTCTGGTTACTGCTCTAAGATTCTGGCCTGATTATTTCTTAACTAATCTAATGGCTCTCTGATGCTTCTAAAGAACATTTATACCATTATCCTCAGCAAACTAACACAGGCACAGAAAACCAAACACTGTTATGTTCTCACTTGTAAGCGGGAGCTGAACAATGAGAACACATGGACGCAGGGAGAGAAAGAACACACACTGGGGCCTGTCCAGGGCACAAGGGGAGGGAGCGCATTGGGATAAATAACTAATGCATGCGGGGCTTAGTACCTGGGTGATGGGTAGATAGGAGCAGCAAACCACCATGGCATATGTTTCTTTACGTAGCAAACTTGCACTTATATCATGCACTTGAGTCCCATAGTACTTTGCAGAAAAGGCATTTTGTGGCTGTCTATGGAGCAAGTGGTTGATTGACAGTTTGAATCAATTATTTTTTCCCAGGAAAGTAAATAGGAGTACTGAAAAGTGTAAAATCAGGTCTATGTTGAGATTTCCAGATGTGATTTGCAATGTCCTAACTTTGACATGTGACAAATAAATTTTATTTAATTAAAATTAAATTGAAATTTAAAAAAATTATTTAGTATACTTTTTAGTTTTCAGGAGGAAGATTGCTATAAATAACCTAATCTGATTTATGTACAGACACAGAAGCTGGAATTATCAATAGTTGTTTTTATAATTAATGGATTTCTTTTGGATTGCACCATTCTACAACAGCCAGCATGATAATGACCACAAGACACTCTAAGTAGAAAAAATGCTACCTTAGAATTGGCTCATGTCCTAAAATTCCTATATCCTCACCCTTTTACAAAATGCCTAATAAACTATAGATTTGCAAATTTTCTTTCTATATTTATAGATAATTCTATATATGGAATATGCTAAGACACTGAGATATAACATTTACACAGTTTTGAATCTTTTATTACTATGATTCTGACTTTTCTGTGATGTATTAAAACATTTTGGACAAATGAATCCCCACTGCGTCAGCTAGATTTTGAGTGTTTAAAGTAAAATCTTCTTTAAAGCAAAATCTTCCTTAGATAGTTCTTTCCTCACTCTTTCCATGATATTTTATGGTACTATTTTTCATTCTGAATTAGCACCATCTTTGAATTATTCTCATTTCACCAAAGTCATCTGTCATAATGATATTATTACTTGATAAAGTACAGTGTCATTTAATTAACTCCTCACCTCCAGGATAAATTTTATTTAATCACTTGTATTTATTCAACCCATACTAAATGGATGCCTGATATATGCTAGGCATAATGTTAGACATTGAAAAGTGATTAGTTGCAGAAAAAGTGTTGCACAGTTATTCTACTTCCACTGTCTCCATCAGAGAATCTTTTTTTCAATATTTTTGAAAGGACTTTACAGTGGAATAGCTAATGTGTTATCTTCAACATGATTTCCTTTTCATATGACACTCCCTAATAATTTCCTAATATTGGTAAAATGAGGACATGTGAGTCAATTGTCTTTGAATTCATTTTTAAATGATTCATGGAGATAGTCATCTAAACAGGAAAATATGAAGAGCTTATATTTTACTTCTTCATATTAAATGTTCCTTAAGAATATCTCTACTTAAATAAAATGCACCAGTGTTAATATTTTCTGGAACCTATTTAATCCAGTAGTAGTTTAGTTGACTTATCTCTCATCTCTATAAAATTTATTTTTTTAACTTATTCTTTAGGACAAAAACTTTTATTTGAATGCATTGTGTCAGGTGTATCAGCTTAAATACAAATAGAGATGTTGCTATATATAACATTTATAGCATCAAAAATAAGATCTAGTTCTTCTGCATACATTGAAAAAGACTGATTTGAAAATCAATAGGTTTGCTTGAATATATGGGTACATAATACGGTCTTGAATGTACTTGCAGTCCTCTACTCTAAATTATCTCATAATTTTGAAGTTACACATCTTTCTAAAGATGTAACAACATGTATTATGTACTGAATATTTATATGAGAGCACACTACTTTAGTATGTTCTTTCGGGTCTACACTTGAAATTTCTTTCTACATTTAAATTTAAGGTTTGATTAGTGCATAGAAAGTATACATCCAGGAACATAATGCTTATTTCTACCAAATAGGAAGTTTCATTATTTTTTGAAATAAAGAATAAATTACTTTAAACCCTTAGAGAAATAGAATGAGCAAAATTTTCAACATGATTATTATTCTTAAAACTTCCTATGTTAACCCAAATTTAGAGCTAAGAAATACATACTTTCATAATTACCCCCATAAGAAATTTATCTGCAAATTATAGTTTACATCTCATGTGATTATAATATTAAGTTTGAAACTTAACAATTCTACATCATTTTTCATACTTAAAACACCTTGGAAAAGCATTAACTAATTAATCAAATCAGATAACAATTCTGTTATGAACTGAACATTATATTGAATCATTTGCTGCAGAATATCAAGATGGCATATGTATAGATGTCACTTTTGAAGTAATGATTATAGCTATGTGCAATAAAGTATTTATTACCTTATCTAATTAATACACATTTTGGCATGTCAGGGTTTGTGAGTAATTATAGTTTTCTATTGCGGTAATAATTTGTATGATTTATGAAGCCTATGAAACAACAATGTGAGCCAAAAAGCTGTCTGGGATAATTACAGTTAAGCAGCGTGATCAACAGGTATGCCCAGCCAAGGGAACACAGCCCTGGGGATAAGATCCTCAAACAAACAGAATCGACTGGAGGTGTTCACTTCTCAGCCTACTTTTTCTCACCTGAAAAAAAAAAAAATGGCCCACCCACTGTTCTCAGCTGCATTAGCAAAGAACTGATTGCTTAAGTCTATGTGGTTATTTTCCAAAGGTTCACGTGCTGATGTGGAGGACTTCATAAAAGAATAAATACAATTATGGACTATATAAATTTTCAATTATTTCAAGGAAGACTGAATGTCGACACATTTAATTTGTTTGAGAATGCGAGTGCATTCTGTGGCTACTGAAAACTCTTACCTAGAATCTGAATTCATTCTATTCCAGTTAGTGACAGAACGCTCTTGGCGCTGCCATACTGGCCATTACAATAGGCTCTGAGTCTGACTTCCTTCTGGAAGCAAGATATCCAGAGTCATTGTCCTAGAGGGAATATAGAATAGAGTTTGTCTCCCAAGAATTTTGCTCATATAAAGGAACTGACTATCCAGAAACCTAAGAGCTGGAAAAGAGCCCAACTATCATTATCCACATTTATATAATAAATTTTAGGAAGTTGGTGAGTTGCAGATCTACAGGTTATTCTTTATTTGACATTGCTTTTGCTTTGCTAAGTCTACTTTGACCTTCCCATCAGTCATTCTCTTTTGCTTCATATTAATGTCCTCAAGGTATGTAATGTTTTAATTGGCTTTCAGCACATACACTGAAGCAGGAGATCCTATCTCACAGAAAGAAGCAGCTGTGAATTTCTGTGAACTGTTCTCAATATGTGGGAAGTACTTAAATTAGTTTGATCTTTCTCAGGAAGACTAACACGTTTATATATCACAGGAGTATACTGAATTTTTAGTTATTAACTCCAGGTAGAGACAAGTTCTTACTGTTTTTTTTTTTTTTTTTTTTTTTTTTTTTTTTTTTTTTTTTTTTTTTTTTTTTTTTTTTTNGAAGACTAAACGATACCATCTAATAATACTGACTGTTGAAAGCAGTGTCACAGAATATTCCACTTTAAAATTCACGCTATATTGTAGAGTCAGCAATCCATAGCAAGATAGCCACTTTTGTACGAGTTGGGAAACTATACTGCAAGAGCAGAGCAACAGCTCCACGAGTGGTCTGGAAGTGAAATCAGGAATTTCTCTTAACACATTCAACTAAGCAGTTGTCTTTATTGACCTCCACTTTATCAAGGACTTGTTTTATGGTGTGACAAGGCAAAGAGAGGAAACAGGTGAGGTAGATCAAGGATGCGAGTTGGGGCCTGGAAAATCTGCAACTCATGCCAACCTCAACCCTTGGTGACAAACTGACTTTGAACTGGCAAGTCTTCTCTCACAGTGGGCTAATGGTCATCTAAAATGAAAATCTCTCTCTTTGACGTTTAAAATATTTGTTAGAGGAAAAAAAATGGAATAAGCAACCACACACACACACACAAAGCGTAAAGAAAATGTTTTCATTGCAAACAAGAGGATACTTTTAGTAGAAAAATGCGTGATTTTTAGCAGCAGTAAAATATTAAAGAAAAATATCCTTACTCTTTGAATTCTGAAGTTACATTTAGGCTTTTTCTATTTTACCAGACACAGTAGAAAGTTCAGGTCAAATGGTAGCTCTAGAAAGAAACAATGTCTGTGCTTTAAGTGTTTTGAGTAGAATTTTAGAGACAGATATTTAATTAAGTCCATTCTGCCCCCGGGCTTAGCATGCAGGCAGCATCCAAAATACCCATTCCCTTACCTCCTCCTTTGTCTTCTTACTTGTCAGCTTGTCCCCTTCTCCCACCCACAGAGGCAGACACACAGGCTTCCTGTAGCTTCCTGTAAATGACAATGGCCCCAGTGGGTTAAAACGTCTCCAAGAAAACAAACAAAAAAAGGTAAAATAAAGTTCAGAAATCCAAAGGTCAAAGAGAAGAGTGAAACCAAAACTATGCCAGAATATTAAGGGGAGGTAAGAACAGGGTGAAAACACATCGTTAATCTCCATGATTATAACTTTATTTTACAATTTGCTGCTTATCATGGATGAAGACAAACAATCTGGTAAAACTGAGGCTGGAAATACATATGTGTAGCACGGATGCATATATGCAAAAAAAATGCACACACATATAAAACATTCTGTTACACAAGTTTAATTCTGTATGAGCTTTTATGTATAGCTTATGCATAAAAGCCAAGATTATGTATTAAAAACATTTACATCTTCAACAGCTTTTGCTTTCATTTCTAGACATCACTATGTCTTTCCCTTTTTTTGGTAACTATAAGCTTATTGGTTAACTTCTATTTCTTGAATATTTGCCATTTACCAATATTGATGTTGTTATTCAAAGGATGTATATTTTTAAACATTTCAATTAAGGCTATGTTTGTATAGCAGTTTGCTTTTTCAGATTATGGATGTCCTTACAAAATTGATTTAAATAAAATTTATTTTTAAAATAAAATAAAGTATATGGTTAATAAATACACTTAATTAATTTATTTTTGAGATAGGGTCTCATTCTGGCGCCCAGGCGGGAGTGCAATGATGCAATCTTGGATCACTGCCACCTTGGTCTTTTGGGCTCAAGCAATCCTCCCACCTCAGTCTCCTGAGTAGCCAAGACTAAAGGCACATAGCAGAAAATCCTAAATATTTTTTCTGTATTTTTTGTAGAGACCAGGTTTCCCCACATTGCCCAGGCTGGTTTTGAACTCCAGGGTTCAAGTGATCAGTCCACTTGGACCTCCCATAGTTCTGGGATTACAGGTATGATATTTATCATAGACTAAAGATATTAAAATGACTGCTATTAAACATATAAAGGTGTTAATGTTACTTCCCAGAATCATTTACATGTAAACAAGTCTCATTCACCTTGTCCAGCTGTTGTTTTTTTCTACCATTACTTTTTTGTTTAATTGCATTATCTGGTAATGTCATTATATGAATGTTCTCCTGCCAAAGGCACTAACAAAGCTGAATGTGAACACAGTTTACCCCTGGTGTCTGTAATCAACAGGGTTTGTGTTCTTCATTAAATGGTGACCATAGTATTATTGGGAATTACACTGCCTCTTCTTTCCAGGAACTGTCTTCTTTCACCTCAAGAGGCAAAGGCTCTGTTTCATTTTGTTTTGCTCTCAATAGCTTCTTTCGCAGGGAATAAAAACACACTAAAATCTTGTGTATTTTTTGGCATATTTTTCTTCAATTTGCCAGAAAATTATTCTCTGAAGAGTAGCTTCGTTGCTTTGAAGTTGCAACTCTTTTGACGTTAATTCTTTTCATTGCTCACTTTTTGGCAGTGACCCCCACTAAAACAAGAAAAAAGATGAAGGCAAACAACTTGGATTGGACTCCTGCCAAGTTCACAAACCGATTTCGCAAGTGAGAGAACTCATTGCCGGAAGCAATGGAGACCTATTGACCTTAGCGTTTATTTATTTTTTATTTTTTGAGACAGGGCCTTGCTCTGTCACCCAGGTGGAGTGCAGTGATGCAATTAGTAGCTCATCTCAGCCTCCAGAGCTCAACTGATCCTCCCACCTCAGTCTCCCATGTAGCTGGGACCACAGGTGCCATCACTACACTCTGCTTATTATCTTTTTAATTTCTTTTGCAGAGATAGACCCTCACTTTATTACCGAGGCTGGCTGAGTTTTTTCAATTTTTATTTTCTATCAGCTGGGGTCAGTGATGAGGTCTGATTTGAATCTTTCTGAATTTCAGTAGATTTATCATCTGCATGTGTCTTCACAGTGCGTTTTTAGAGTTTGCTTTGAAATTGTTCCTGAGACATGTTTTCTTCCTTCTGATCATAGAAGTGAAACAGCTAGATTGCAAGTCATTAAATGTATCCAAAAACTTTGATTCTTTAAAATTCCGCTTGTATATCATTTAATATTGAAGGGTGCTTCAACATGGATGGTAAAATTGATAATTGTGGTGATCACTTATGAGTGAGGGCATGCGGTGTTTGGTATTCTGTTCTTGTGTCAGTTTGCTGAGAATGATGGTTTCCAGCTTCATCCATGTCCCTGCAAAGGACATGAACACATCCTTTTTTATGGTTGCATATTCCATGGTGTATATGTGCCAAATTTTCTTTATCCAGTCTATCATTGATGGGCATTTAGGTTGGTTCCAAGTTTTTACTATTGTAAACAGTGCCAAAATGAACATACGTGTGCATGTCTTTATAATAGAATGATTTATAGTCCTTTGGGCATATACTCAGTAATGGGATTGCTGGGTCAAATGGTATTTCTACTTCTAGATCCTTGAGGAGTCACCACACTGTCTTCCACAATGGTTGAACTAATTTACACTCCCACCAACAGTGTAAAAGTGTTCCTACTTCTCCACATCCTCTCCGGTATCTGTTGTTTCCAGATTTTTTCAATGATTGGCATTCTAACTGGCGTGAAATGGCATCTCAATGTGGTTTTGATTTGCATTTCTCTAATGACCAGTGAAAATGAGCATTTTTTCATATGTTTGTTGGCTGCATAAATGTCTTCTTTTAAAAAGTGTCTGTTCATATCCTTCACCCACTTTTTAATGGGGTTTTTTTTTCTTGTAAATTTGTTTAAGTTCTTTGTAGATTCTGGATACTAGTCTTCTGTCAGATGGGTAGATTGCAAACATTTTTTTCCCATTCTCTTGGTTGCTGGTTCACTCTGATGATAGTTTCTTTTGCTGTGCAGAAGCTTTTAAGTTTAATTAGATCCAATTTGTCTATTTTGTCTTCTGTTGCCATTCCTTTTGGTGTTCTAGTCATGAAGTCCTTGTCTATGCCTATGTTCTGAATGGTATTGCCTAGGTTTTATTTTAGGGTTTTTATGATGTTAAGTCTTATGTTTAATTCTCTAATCCATCTGGAGTTAATTTTTGTATAAGGTGTAAGGAAGAGGTCCAGTTTCAGCTTTCGGCACATGGCTAGCCAGTTTTCCTAATACCATTTATTAAACAGGGAATCCTTTCCCTATTGCTTATATTTGTCAGGTTCGTCAAAGGTGCATCAATTATATTTTTATGTAAAATGCATATACTGCGTATTATACACAATATACAATATAATGTAACATATTATTATTACACGGCATCATTGTCTGCTGAAATACAGAGAATTAATGCAGAAAGATAGAGGAAGCTAACATTTGTATCTGGCAATGTAGTCTGATATGGTTTGGCAGTGTCCCCACCCAAATCTCACCTTGAATTGTGATAATCCCCATGTATCAAGGGTGGGGCCAGGTGGAGATAATTGAATCATGGGGATGGTTTTCCCTGTACTGCTCTTGTAGCGAATAAAAATCATGAGATTTAATGGTTTTATAAATGGGAGTTTCCCTATACAAGTTCTTCCTTGCCTGCTGCCATGTAAGATATAATTTTTCTTCTCATTCACCTTCCTCCATGATTGTGAGGCCTCTCCAACCTTGTGGAACCATGAGTCCACTTAACCTCTTTCCTTCATAAACTAGCCAGTCTCAGGTATGACTTTATCAGTAGCATGGGGACAGACTAATATACAGGCTATTAGTTATGAGTGGACTTTGAAGCCAATCTCTCTCTCTCTCTCTCATTCTCTCTGTCTCCCCCCTCCCCACCCTTCTGAGACGGGATCTGGCTCTGTCACCCAGACTTGAGTGCAGTGGCATGATCATGGCTCACTGCAGTCTTGACCTCCCAGCTCAAGCAATTCTCCCACCTCAGCCTCCCAAGTAGCTAGGCTAGCTTTTTGTGCTTTTTGTAGAGACAGGGTTTTGCTATGTTGCCAGGCTGGTCTTGAACTCCTGAGCTCAAGGAATCTGGCTGCCTTGGCAGTGCTGGGATTGCAAATAAGAGCCAATGAGCCTGACTGAAGTCAGTTTCTTAGTGTTTGATTTCCAGCTCTGCAGTTTCTTAGTTATGGGATCTTTGGAAAATCTCGTTATTCTGTTAAGCCTTAGCTACCTCATCTGTAAAAGAATAATAGAATGGATAAGGTCTTAGGGCTGAAGTAAGAGAATGCATAGTAACACTGAATAAACACTAGCTATTATTATTACTACTATGGGAAAGATAATTTGTTCTCTGTTCCCATGACATGTTTCTAATCACAGACTTGGGCATATATAAAAATTAAAGAATAAAAAAAAAATTGCCATGACTGAGGTTGTTGGCAGTTGCATCTCAAATAATTTATAGTTTTAGAAAAGGAATAGACATCCGTAAATAATGTGAAGGAGAAGTCCAAATTTAGATGTCATGGTGGAAGACAGAGGTTGGAGGACAAGTCAATAACGTAATTTCTTGACCCTATTGTTATCTTGTGTGTGGGAAGAGGTATTGCTCAGGAGACAGTCTTAAGAGTGATATGGTTTCCAAGTCACTATAAATGCCCTAGACTATGTCCTCAATCCACATGTTATAGATAAAAAGGAACTCAGTGCAATATTGATAGAATGGAGAAAATAAGAAATTTACTTTTTATCTGGGCTGTGATACATTATTTCTCACTTCATAGCCTGGATTAAGTTTTCTAATATTGACAACATTTTTCTATGTCTCATGTTCAGCCATTTATTCATTGATTCACCAAATATTTTAAGTGCCTATTATGCACCAGGCCCTATTCTAGAAGTTGGTCTACATGGAGAATATCTTCTAGTGAGAAACTGTATGATTGCTAGGCATGACTATATTCTAATACAGATTTTGGAGACCAGTTAATCATTTAATTTCAATTTTACATAAAAATTTATTCAATCTCGATTGTCTTCCAGATGCTACATTCAGGGCACACAAATGAACTCAACAAGATTGTCTCAAGCCTTGTGGAGAT